TTGCCCCAACATTTTTCAGTCAGAAGGGCATAACCTTGTAGCAGTACAGGCCGAACTCGGTTATGAAGGCGGTTTTTTCCTCGTCGGACGGGTCCATCCTGATTTGGTTGTAGCCCGAGTAGGCATCCAGGAAGCTTAGTAACTCTTGTCCCGAGGTCGCATTCACTAGGCGGTCAATCTTTGGGAAGGGGAAGCAATCTTTTGGGCAAGCTCGGTTTAGGTCGTCGACGCACATGCGCCACTTGCCTTTTGCCTTTTTTACCAAAACTGGGTTGGCCACCCAGCTCAGGTAATGAACTTCCCTTATGAAGTCTGCTACGAGGAGCTTCTCGACCTCCTCATCGACCGCCCTCCAGCGTTCTGGGGCTAGGTTGCGTTTCTTCTGTTTAATGGGCCTAACTACAGGGTCAATATTCAACTTGTGAGTTACAAGGTCGGGGTTTATACCGGGCATCTCTGTCGCGAACCATGCAAAAATGTCTAAATTTTGGAGTAAGAAACTTACCAGTTCGGACCGCAAGGGTTCTTCCGGGGATGCTCCGACCTGAAGTAATCTGGCGGGGTCTTCTGCCGAGACAGAGATGGGAACAGTTTCCTCCGTTGGTGCAGCTCGCTCCTCGTTCTGTTCCACCGGCCACTCCAGTTCGAGGTCGCCAGTTACCTTGGCTTTTCCCTTGAGGGCGGCGACGTAGCACTTACGGGACTCGAGCTGGTCGCCCCGCACTACCCCGATGCCGAAGTCCGTTGGGAACTTCATGGCCAAATAGTAAGTAGGCACCACGACCTTTAAAGCATGGGTGATTGGCCGACCTACTATGGCGTTGTATGGGGAGGGGGTCGCGACCACCAAAAAATCGTGACTGAGTCTTACCGTATTAGGCCACATGCCGACTCCCACGGGTACTGTGACCTTTCCTAGGGGTCTGACCTCTTCTCCGCTGAAGCGTGTTCGTAGGCTTCAAGTCATTTTCTCGGAACTGGAGTTTGTCAACGGCTGCTTTAAAAAGAATGTCTGCCGAATTGTCGGAGTCAACGAGTACGTGCCGGACTTCGAAGTTGTGATGTTTACCATTATGACAAGTGCATCGTCGTGGGGGTAGTGGACCCCGCGTGCATCGTCTTTGGTGAAGAATATGAGGTCTTCCGTCCTAGGCCGCTTTGGGGGATTTTGTTCTTTTCTGGCGGCCTCCCGGGTTGATGCCTGAGCTGCTGCCGAGGTGCATCCTGCTACAATCGATCCTCCAACGATCACATGGATTGTTCCCCGAACTGGTCTTTCCTCCGGGGGCTACTTCTGCGGTTCAGCTGGCCGGCTGCTGGACTCGGGAGCATCTCTACTGTGTTCTCCCGGCCGGCCTGTCTTATTATTATTATTATTATTATTATTATTATTATTATTATTATGTTGTTGTACAAAATTCCTTAGGTACGCACGACGGATAAGTTCTTCTATCTCGTCGCAGAGATTATTACAATGTTCGGTGCTATGACCGTTGTCTCTATGGAAACTGCAGTACAAGTTTTTATTCCTCTCGTTCGGGTTTCCCTTCAGACGAGGTGGCCATTTCACATACGGGGCGTCTTTGATCATCATTAAGATCTCGGCCCGCTTCGCGTTCAAGGGCGTGTAGTCTGTCCGACCTGCTAAGGGAGCTCGGAACGGCTGGCTTGGCTTCGTCCCCCGAGGTGGGTCTTTCCTTCTCCTGTCATCTGGGTTGGAGGGTTCGCCTTCCCTCTTCCTTTTTCCGATCCCGCTTTCAGTCCTTTTGATTGATCTCCTCTGTTCTTATGAATTTGTTCGCGAGCTTGAGGAATTCAGCTACGGCCGTGGGCTGGTTGACCATGTGCCACCTGAACTCCTTGTGTGTCACACCCCTCTTGGCTGCCGCGAGCTGTACCGCCGGGTCTAGGTGCGGTATCTGCAAGCATGCGTCATTGAACCGTTTGACATAGCCCCGGATGGACTCTCCTTCCCTCTGGACTATTCCGAGGAGGCTCTCCTCGGTTCGGGGGCACCGTTTGCTAGTAACGAAGTGCGCGGTGAAGACTTGCATGAACTGGGTCCAGCTTCTTATCGACCCGGGGGCCAGGTTCTTGTACCAGGTGCGGGCCACTCCCCTGAAGGTGGTAGTGAAGGCCACACACATGCAGGACTCGCTGGCCTTCGCTAGGTGCATTTGGGACTGGAAAGCATCGACATGGTCATTGGGGTCAAAGGACCCATCATACTTGTCTAGAGGAGGGAGTTTGAAATCTTTGGGCAAGGGAACTGCAAGGAGTTCTGAGGACAGGGGGAAGGGACTGAAAGAATAGGGGCAACTTTTACCTCGTCCGAGCTTGTTTCTTCTTTACCTCGGAGCTCGGGCAGGACGTGGGTGGTAGTTCGGCGACTTCGCCGGCGTCTTCGCTACTACTTAGAAGGCCTGGTATTGGTGCTACTTGCCTCGGTGTTGCCGAGCTCGATCGGCCCGGACTGTTGGTAGTCCGTGGCCAGGACGCCGAATTGGTTCTCTGCGAGCGGGAGCTCGAACTTAGAGTGTCGAGGTGCTGACTTGATCGGCAAGGAGGTTCCTGACCCGTCGGCGAGCTGCGAGGCGGGGGTAATTAGTCTTTCCCTCC